CTCTGAGACCGACTCTACGACCGTACACAAGAGAGCTACAGCTAGCAAGATCTTGAGACCCATCGACATTGACTAACAGCCCTCTAAGCTCAGCAGCTAAAATACACGACACAAAGTCTTCTTAGTACTGCAACGGTATAAACGACATACAACTAACGGATACACGACATATAACACAAGGAGCTAGAGCTTAAATAAACGACATACACAACTCTGATATGTGTAGCTAAAAAAACAACATACAGATCTCTTATATGTGCAGCTAAAAAAGACATACAATACTCTTATATGTATCCCTGAAATAAACGACATACAACACATATATATGCAGTTAAAATAAACGACATACTACACTCTTATATGTGCAGTTAAAAAAAAGACATACAACACTCTTATATGTACTGTTAAAAAACGATATACAATACTCTTATATGTGTAACTGAAATAAACGACATACAATGATCTTATATGTGCAGTTAAAATAAACGACATACATTACTCTAATATGTGCATTTAAAATAAACGACATACAACACACTTATATGTGCAGCTAAAATAATATAACATCTAATACTTAGGAATGATTTTCGTCCACGTAACTGAAACGGTACTCCAATTATCGTGTTGACAAGAAAAGAAGAACACTACTGGTTATAACATTGATAGAGTCGTATATACGCTCTATTACATGTTTATTAATGTTAGCCAACATCTAAATTGGTATACTATGAACCGTATATCAAGAATCACTCAAAACTTCAAAATAACATAAGTATAGGATTTTATACAAAATATATTTCGTCTACAAACACACACACGCACACACACGCACGCACACAATCAGACAGACACACGGACAAGATTTTATTAAACATTTAACACGTCTAGATATGACAAAAATCTCGAGATTTTTTTCGTGATTACAATATTTCCCCTCTAAAATAGCAGGGTAAAACAATGTTGATGAGTACTTACCCAGTACGGATCTAGAATATTTGCATTCAACTAACGCGAGAATTAATTTAACAGACAGCAGGCCTAAGTAATATTGTTTTCCATGACAGTTATCCTAATCTATTTATCCTAATCCTAAATAGTAGCACAGCAGATGGACTTGGATTTGCACACACATACACGAGCAGAAACTGCTGATTTTGTTTTAAAGGTCAACTTGACCCAGACATTTAATTATAAAGCAGGTAAGTTACAGGTCTGTTAGGCAGGTGAAATGTGGGCTTCAAGTGGTGCTAATATACCCTGTCTACTTAATTGTTCATTAAGACAAAGAAACAAAAATACCTAAGAAGTAGAAACGAATGGGTAAATAATTAAATAGGTGGACAAGAAATTTGTATGGGTAAATAGTCGTGTAGGCAGCTAGGTATAATACTGTCAGCACATATTAAAGTCTTCACATGTCAAGGTTATAGAAATGAGGACCGTCTCCTTCGGGGGGTGGGGGGGGCGGACACTGTTAAAAGTATATATTTTCTATATAAATTCCATTTCGTTCGGGGGGGGGCGGTACACTCACTTCGGGGAGACCCCCCCCCCCCTCACCGAAGAGATGCCTGGAAGAAACTCTTGTAAGGATTAGTGTTCCCAATTATTAAAAAAAAAGATGTGTGTTCTGGGTATGAGATTGTATAGTGAAAGGTTTTTTTTTTATAATGCATGTTAAAGTGGTAGGAAGTGAATGGAGGTTAGGGATAGGTTGTGGGGACAGGATAGGGATAGGTTGTGGGGACAGGATAGGGATAGGTTGTGGGGACAGGATAGGGATAGGTTGTGCGGACAGGACAGGGATAGGTTGTGGGGACAGGACAGGGATAGGTTCTGGGGACAGGATAGGGATAGGTTGTGGGGACAGGATAGGGATAGGTTGTGGGGACAGGATAGGGATAGGTTGTGGGGACAGGATAGGGATAGGTTGTGGGGACAGGATAGGGATAGGTTGTGCGGACAGGATAGGGATAGGTTGCGTGGACAGGATAGGGAAAGGTTGTGGGGACAGGATAGGGAAAGGTTGTGGGGACAGGATAGGGAAAGGTTGTGGGGACAGGATAGGGATAAGTTGTGTGGACAGGATAGGGATAAGTTGTGTGGACAGGATAGGGATAGGTTGTGGGGACAGGACAGGGATAGGTTGTGGGGACAGATTAGGGATAGGTTGAAGGTAAAGATTATAGGGATATGCTGCATAGATAGACTGTACAGATACTAAAGGGATGGTATGTAGGTATAGGATAGGGATATGTTATGTGGATTGGTTGCAAGAATAGGTTGTAAGTAAAGAATACGGATGAGACGGAGTGGTCTAGCGGTAGAGAACTGGACTGCTAACCCGTAAGTCTCGAGTTCGAATCCGGTTCAAGTCAGTAGACCGTCCCTGAGTCCACCCAACTCTGATGGGTACATAATTCACGTTAGGGAAAGTGAAGGCGGCTGGGCGTAGTGCTGACCACACTATCTCTTCAGAAACAAGTGAAATCTACTTCACTTGCCCCATAGACCGTCAGGTTTGAAAGGGAAACTTTACTTTTTTTTTAAAGAATACGGATACGTTGTAGGATTGAAATAGGTCGTTGAGGTAGGTTATAAGAATGGGAAAGAGATACTTTATAGGGATAAGATAGGGATATTTTACAGGAGTAGTTTGTATAGATAGCATGAAGGAATAGAATGTTTGGATAGGTTTTGTGGAAAGGATAGTCATATGTTCTATTGATGGATAGAAGTGGATTGTAATGTATTAGAACGATAAGTTGTATGTGGTCCTCATAAAAATGCGCCTTCGGAAAAAATGCGCTAATTCTTTATGTTATAGTGTACATAGAGTCACTCTTTGTTAATTTCTATAAATGCTGGATTTATGAAAACAAAAATGCCCTTGTTTACATTTTTGTGAGCAGTTTTCCGATGCGCAGTATTCCATTGCGCATCTTTCCAGTCACCGTTGTTGGGATAGGTTGATGGGATACGGTAGTCTGTAGAGATATGATAGGGACAAGTTGTATCAGAGGCGTAGCGAGGGGAGGGGACAAATGTCCCCGGGCTCCGACCTTAGGGGGCGCCAAAATGGGTTGGAAAAACAGATTGAAGGTTTGAAGGGGGGTGCAAATCGAAAGTTTGAGGGGGGGGGTGCAAATCGAAAGTTTGTCCCCCGGCGCCGGGAAGGGTCGCTACGCCTCTGAGTTGTATGTTGGAACAAGTATCATCTAAATTGTGCACAGTGAAGGAAAATGTGTGAGCAACTGCTTTTTGAGTTCTCCTATTGATAGCAGTCGAAGTCTATCTTGTGATAGTTAAACCGGTGTAGATCTTTGCAAGAAATGAAACAGCGAATCAGAGAAGAAGATTCGTAAACCTTTTATTTACCTGTAGTTTTACAGGTATTGGTCAGGGCCAAAAGTTTGACGTTTGAATGGTAGTGGTCACAGAATGTAAGCCGGATTAAGTGACTAAGTAGACGATTTAATACTTACAGAAAATTGTGTGGCTTTAATCAATTTCACAACAATAGGCCACCAGCCTGAAGAATTTAAATTAAATAATTTGTGATTTAAGGTTCAAACATACGTCCTACCATATATGGCGATGGTTAGATTCACTTCGAGTGAAGATGGTATCTGAGTCGAATTTTTATCCATATGTGGACATCTTATTATAGTATCTAAAGCGACTTTTGGGTCCATATTTCACAGTATGATTTTAATACTTCTAATGCGAGTTTAGGTTTATATGAGAACATTTCCAGTAGAGTATTTAAGACAAAATTTAAGGTCCATATATTGCGTTTGATTACTTCATATAAGGCCACTTTTAGGTCCATAAATGGTCATAAGATTGTCTACTTGAAGTTTTAAGTTCATACACCACCCCTGATTATCATTGCAATGACACCATTGAGCATCCATACGCAAAAGTGCAAAAGTGATTTGTGTTTTATATTTGTTGTTTGTTTGTGTATGTTAGTAGTATGTGTTTGTTGTGATGTTATAAGTTTTTCTTTCTTTTTGTGGATATTTGTTATGCATTCGTAGGTGTGTTGTGGCCTACGAGTACAATTTTTGTGGGCTAATATATTTGTTGTATGTGCGAGTATATTTCTTATAGTTTTAGTACGTTTGACGTTTGTTTATGTTTGTTAAATTTTTTTGTATGGGATGGCGTGGCCTTGCGGTAGAGAGCTAGACTGCTAACCAGAATGTCTCGACTTCGAATCGGTGTTCAAATCAGTAGAATGTCCACACAGCTCTGATGGGTATCTAACTCAGGTTAGGGAAACAAAGGCGGCTGGGCATAGTGCTGGCCACACTATCCATTCAAATTAAATGCCGAGGTAATCTGAAACAGATAAACTCTACTTCGTCTGCTTTATGTGTTTTGGGTTGGAACGGGAAAACATGATGAGATGAGATGTGTTTGTCGTTCACAGTGGCGTATGCCGGGGGGGGGGGTTAGGGGGGTCATAACCCCCCCCCCCCCCCATAGACCCCTCGGTATATATAAAGTATGAGGGTGGGGGGTGCAAATCCAAAGTTTGAGGCGGGGTGCAAATCAAAAGTATGAGGGTGGGGGGTGCAAATCGAAAGTTTGAGGGAGGGGGGGTGCAAATCGAAAGTTTGTTTCCGGGTAAAAATTGGAACCCCCCCCCCCTTGAGACAATCCTGGCTACGCCACTAGTCGTTCATGTTATGTCAGGTGTATACGTTAGTATGTTGCATGTGTGTTTGTTGTATATGTATGATTGTTGTAGACATGACACTATTTGTTTATCTCATTGTTTGTAGCTGTGTTTGTACTCACTCTACATGTATGATCGTGTGTGTTGTGTTCTGTGTTAATTTTTAAATGTTTATATCATTTTTTAGAGCACAATGCTACTTTTGTACGCTAACTCCAATAATGACCACGTCAATGGTGAACCCATTTCACATTTCACATTACATACCATGAACTATTTACCACTAACAAACACAAACACATTTTTCGATCACAGTGTGTGATCAAGATGTAATGTTTTATTTGATGTAATTATCACAGCGTCAAATTTACATTCTCGCATTCAAAATCCACTTACCATTAAAAAATATAATCTCGATTTATTTATGCTTGATGATATAAGATAGTAATTAATTTTTCTATTCATTATCTTAATAGGTATGATAAACAGCCCTGCAATGAAAGAGTCCTTTGTTAAATGAGGCCTTACTTAATAAGTTTTTATTAATTAAATGAGGCTTCATTAACTCTAGCATCGTAGATGATATTACAGGGAAATTAATGTGATGATCAGAACATTCTTAATCGCGGCCCTTTTGTGGTGGGTCACCAAAGCCTGGTCCTGAAGAAGGCGGGCGGTCGGGGAAATTTTTTCTTGGCCACCCGGCCATCTTTCATCTTGGTGGCCCGGGTACTGCTGAAGTCACCGAGAAGCTCAGGTGTGAAGTAGGCGTCCTTGGGCGGAGGTAGGTTTGGACACCTGGAGCAAGAAAACATAGGTGTGTACATGTTTGGGGGGGGGGGGGGGGGGTAAGGGTATGGGCGGCTCCATGCTATAAAAGTGTTGTAGAGAGTGACAAAAACAAACGCCTTTTTGCAATGGCGATATATTCAGGAAAAGGACATTATACACACGTCATTTCTCTACCCTCTCTCCTGAGCATTTTACCCTTCATTATTTCCTAGGATGAATTATCACTGTATCCCTATGTTCTTTAACATTAGCCTAAAGAACTGCAGTGGGTCCTTCTTCATTACCCCCCCCCCCCCCCCCTCAGAGACCGGTATAAGATAAATACGGATAGAGATACATTAAATATAATTAAAGTCATAGTTTCTCGAATAGGGATGGGAATAGGTTTAGGATATTGTTGGGGATAGGGTAAGGGTTAGAAATAGGGGTAAGTTTAGGATTTTACTATGGCTAAGTTTATGCTTAGGGTCTCGGTTAGGGATAGGTATTATGACGGGGTTGTGTGGTAAGTCATATCCCAACCTGACCTTACTATCCTAGTCTCGTTATGATGGGATTGTGTGGTCAGCCCTATCCCAACTTGACCTTACTATCCTAGTCTCGTCTCAGGCTCACGTTATAGCCATCTGGCGTGAGGCCGTTGTCTCTAACGCTTGACCACACCCTAACTAGAAAGTCAAAAACATATTCCCTGACCTGTTTTTTTCCGGGAACTTTTTCCGCCGACTGAAGTACCGGAAGGGGTCCAAAGTCAAGGTCATGTAATCCGTATCCCGGTCGGATAGCAACATGGGTTCGAACCTGGGGTCTTCGTAAGGGATCTTCAAACCTACGAGCAGAACATGTAGGCCTACACAATTATTGAATATAAACCTATACACAAAATATGTTATTTAATGTGTCTATTAAAGTTGTAGTTGTGTTTTATTTGTGTCCTTTCAAACTGTATTTCGTTTAAGATTGAAGGTATCATCTGGTTTCGCCATTTATCGTACCGACTTATCAACATCATTCTCGACCTGCCTCTCATGAAAAACTTGAAAATTAAAATAACTTTTTTTTAAGTAATGCCATTCTAAATAAATTTTGTAATTAATTTAAGCTGGTTAAATATTAACTTAAGCAACTACATTAGTCTTGTTCTTTTAGCTATAATATATATATATATATATATATATATATATATATATATATATATATATATATGACCTTCCCCGAGTCTATCCTGCCCGACAACGCCAATTGTAACGAGTTGAACCACTCATGCTACACAACATCGACTACAGTAGAAAGACTCGAAGATGCAGGTTCGCTATTGATCCTTTTATTACATGAATCAAGAAATGCTTCAATATAACACAATGAATCAACAGGAATGTTTCACAATAATAGTCTGAATCAACTGACCCCTAACAGTCCTCACTAGGCTTCATATAACTGAATCCACATGTCTATTGTCCTTCTTAACACAATATAACCAACTTGATATGTCACACAGACTGACTGATCTAAAGCGAGCGATGAAGAGGGAAGAGAACGAGTTCAGCCGTCCCCTCCTATTTATCCCTTGTATTCGTACTCGTCTTCGTACTTGTATTCCTCCGTAATCGATACTTGTACTCGATGTCGCCGACCACTAGTTGCGCAGTTCTAACGTACAGTCCGTGTCATAAACATCTGCATCCTATCAATCAAAGTTGACAGGCCGTCTGAATCCCCTCGTACCGTTTCCCAAAATAGCACGCGTTGGCTTTGAGATTGTTATCAGTCCGATCCAATAAGCCACCTGCTATCGGTTGCATCAGACTGTAATACTGCGTCTCGGCTTATCGTTCGTTATCAGATTTGTAACTAGTAGCCAGGCCTACCCTAGTTACATCCACCCCTGCTTTTTTTGTGTGTTTTCCACCACAAACAACGCCTGGCAGGTGCAATCCTCCAAAGTCAATCGCACAATCGTAAAAAAAAAATTTTATTGTTCCACTCACTGTCCACGACGTCCCATTCGTATACGATTGACAGTTATACCTATTTCACATATCAACTGTGTCTACATCGTCTTCCTGAGACACAAAACAGTTCTGGAATTCACATCCACCCTTTTCGTTTGGTGCCTTCACCAGTTCCGTTTTATAGCTTTTTGAACCGTCTGTTCTCATACCAGCGCGACCATGAAAGACTTGATGGTTGCTGACAAAAAATTTCGTCTTCCTTCTGTTCCTCAAACTTCTCCGCGGACCACTTATCTGATGGTCTACTGTCTCTCTGCTTCTGGAAGGAACGGGATCCTCTTTGTTGCCGTTATCCTCCACTTGTATATCGCGGTTGTTCTGTTGATGGTGATATGGTTCCGGGATGGGTATGTGAATTTCCGTTATAGTTTCCGGTTCCCTAATTGTCTTGGATTTCCTTGTGTGTAACTGCTCTTCTTGCCTATTCCAATATTTCTTTAATTGAGCAATATTCGCCCACCGATCCGGTTTGGCGTGATCGATGGGTCTTATCTTAAAGGGGCCACCTGCTACTTTAGGCATCTCCACGACTTGCCATATCTCCTGTCCCCAGAGATCGTGGATTTTGTTTCTGCCTAACGGGTGGCTACGCAGTAATACCCTGTCATTCAGTTTGAGTGGCGGGTCCTTTGTCTGTACCGGCGGTTCCCTTCGCCGTGCTTCATGTTCTAATCTTTCCTGTACTACCCTGTACATTTCTCTAATTCTTCTCATATGTTCATTCACATATTCCAGTGCGGTGTATGAGCCAGTCATACTCTCTCTTTTTCCTAGGAACAAATCAAGAGGGAGTCGAGCCTCCCGTCCGAACAGCAACATGTATGGCGAAAAGCCGGTTGTGGCATGGGGTGTGCAGTTGTATAGATATACCAACTCTGGGAGAAAATCAGGCCAACGTTTTTTCTGTTCAGGTTCTAGCGTACGCAGCAAATCATGCATGCTGCGGTTGAACCGTTCACACTGTCCGTTTCCTTTCGGATTAAATGTGGTTGTTCTAGATTTGTTGATCCCGTAGTGGCTGCACAGTTGGTTAATTACTTCTGACTCGAAGGCCCTTCCTTGGTCAGAGTGTAATTGTCTTGGTATGCCATATTTGATGAACCAATGTTCTATTAAGACCTTTGCCACTGTTTTGGCAGTCTGATCTCGCGTGGGCACCGCCACCGTCCATTTGGTGAATACATCAGTCATTACCAACACATGTTCCGTCCCATCCGATGATTGCTCCAACGACGTAAAGTCCATAGCCACAATCTCTAGTGGTTTTGTCGCTAGTAGGTGTCCTGATGGCTGTCTCATTTTGACAACTGGCATTTTCGCATGCTGACACCTCACACAAGCCTCACAATGGCGTTTGACCTCCATTTCCATATTGGGCCAGTAACACCTCCGTCGTAATATTTTGTGCGTCCTGTCCTGACCCTGGTGTCCTGCCCTGTCATGTGCCAACCTTAGCACTTCTTCTCGTAACTGTCCAGGCACCACCACCTGGTGTATTGTCCCATCAATTTGGTCATGAATTCTCCGCATGAGAACACCATCCTCTATACTGAGACGGTCCCACTGACTCAGTATTTTCTTTGTTTCTCGACCAAATTGTTCTCTTTCCCTTCTTCCTGGGAATTTTTGTTCCTGGACGTATTTCAATAGCGGTTGTAAGCCACTATCCGTTCTCTGGGCATCTCTTATCTTTTTGTGATTAAGGCAATTAAAATCACTACTGTCCATATGTTCGGGCTCTGTGGATATGTGCTCCACCCCGGTCTGCCCGTTCTGCATCACTTGTACCCCATGAGGGATATCTGTTGACGCTCTGACCTCACATATTCCTGTCAGCGTTTCTTCCTCATCACCCGGTTTCTCGTAAGGATTCCTTGATAAGGCGTCCGCATTGCCATTGGACCGCCCCGGGCGATACTTTATCTCTAGGTCAAAGAGTGCCAATTCTGCTGCCCATCGCTGTTCGATGGATCCCAACTTTGCTGTCTTTAGGTGACTCAAGGGGTTATTGTCAGTGTATACCACACATTTAGCACCTAATAGATAGTCCCTGAATTTCTCAGTCACAGCCCATTTTAATGTCAAAAGTTCTAGTTTCATGGCGCTGTAATTTGTCATGTTCCTCTCTGATCCCTTCAGAGCTCGACTGGCATACGCAATAACCCTGAAACCTTGCTTTTGTTGTTGTGATAGCACAGCTCCCAGACCTTTAGAGCTGGCGTCGATTTCTAAACGAAATGGTTTGTCAAAGTCCGCGTATCCCAATATCGGCGCCTCTGTCAAAGCCTTTTTCAAGAGCTTAAACGAGTTCAGGCATTCATCAGTCCATAATTCACCTATCAGTTGTGTTTTACCTTTCTTTTTCTCCTTACTGTGTTTCTTTGTCATTTTGTTTACCAAGTCATGCAATGGTGCGGCAATTTTTGCAAAACCCGGCACAAATTTTCTATAATAGGAAGCAAAGCCCAAGAATGATCTGACCTCTACTGTAGTTGTTGGCTGTTTCCATTCTTTAACAGCTGCAATTTTATCTGGGTCAGTGGCGATGCCATCCGACGAAATCACATAACCCAAAAAATGTACCGATTTCAGACCAAAGCAGCATTTGTCTGGGTTCAGCTTTACTCCTATCTCCCTAAGACGGAGAAACACTTGTTCTAATCTTTTTAGATGGTCCTCCCAAGTTTTTGAGTAAACTAGAATATCATCCAAATACACCAACATTATTTGAAATAGAAAGTCACTCATAGCACTCTGCATTACTCGCTGGAATGTAGCAGGTGCATTAGTTAGACCAAACGGCATACGGGTCCACTCGTACAGTCCCAGTGGAGAAATAAATGCAGTTTTATGTTGATCGTTGGGGTGCATGGCCACTTGGTGGTAGCCACTAGCCAAATCCAAGGTAGAAAAAAATCTTGCTCCCCCCAACGCATCAAGACATTCATCAATACGAGGCAAGGGGAATGCATCCCTTCTTGTGATATTGTTCAATTTCCGGTAATCACAACACAGTCTTATCTCCCCTGACTTCTTTTTTACCACTACTATCGGTGCCGCATACGGGCTTGTACTGGTTGTAATAATTCCCTTTTTTAGTAGATCATTTAGGTGTGCCTTCACCGCCGAGTAGTGACTCGGTGGTAATCTTCGATAAGGTTGCGCCACCGGCTTGTCTTGTAGTAAGGGTATCTGGTGTTTTATTACTTCCGTGTACCCCAAATCACCCTCATACGAGGCAAATATATCACTGTATTTATTCAGCAATTCATTTAGTTTTGGGTCCTCAGTTTCCGGGAATGTATATGATCGGCCATCCTCTTTCTTCACCTCGGCCGTCACATTGACCGACCTAATTGTTACTTCATTACTGCTGGTATTGCTCAGTTCGATGCACTGTGCCGACCTTAGTACCTCGACGTTCTGTGGTACTCCTACCAGAGTATTAGGCGGTATAAAAATTTCCTCATCCAAAACATTTGGCACTAATCCTTGAACTAGTCCATTTTCCGCTGATGTGTATGTCCGCAGTAACACGACGCCTGCCCTCAGTGCGGCGCCACATGGTTCTATCATCACATCACCATTCACGCTTCTATCACCAATTTGTAATGTGATTGCCTTGACCGTGTTTGCCGGGACTGCTGTCCTTCCTCTGGTCTTGGCAAACCTGGCCAACTTGGATCCCCGACCTGGTGTGGTCGATCCGACAATGTTTGTAAGAAATTCTGGCAACTGGCCAAGAATATTCATGCCCAACAGGCAAGGTATATTTGACACATTTGTCTCTAGGTTGTGTTTCGTAACGAACACCCCAACCTGCTTCAACCTATGTCCTGCCACCACGACATCCGCCAGAAAATAACCACAGTATGGAATGGTTAGTCCATTAGCTGCCGTCAGGCGCATGCATGTGTCAGACCTCAACCTATGGTCTTTTCCTTTCATCCATTTGGTGTAAAAATTTTCCGTGATTGTCGTCACCTGGGAGCCTGTATCCACAATTGCCTTCACCGCGATGTCCCCAATCGTAATCACCATTTCGGGACAGACTCCCATCATTTTGCTTCTTGGGCCATAACCTCGCCCCTCTGTAGCCTGGCCCTGCCTTACAGAGGACGACCGTTTCCCTGGCAGTACCGTGCCATATGTCCGGGTTGTGAACAAGACAAACAAATTGGTCGACCGTCGGCCGTCCATTGGAGTGATGGCTTGGCAGGACGCGGCCGTCCAACCCGTCCCTGTTTTGTCCCGTTCTTTTCCTGATTCTCAGCTGTTGACCTGCTTTCTAACCTCTCCAAACGTTGGTCAACCTTATCTAGGTGGGTCAACAGTCGAGCCATCATGGTCTCCATCGTGTCGGCCCCTGTGGGTGGGGATTGTCTCTGTTCAGGCACAGAGACTTTGTCCACCGAACAGTTCGATTGGTCCTCATCCTCGGACCTGCGGATCGCTGAGTTCCTGACCTGAAGGAAGGTCAACTGCGGGTCTTTGTGGACCTCCTCTTTCAACTCTCTTCTTAGGATCGGGGTTGCCAGCCCCTCGATGAAATGGTCCCTCAGTAGGCGCACATCAATGTCAGGTGTTTTGACCTTTACCGAATCAAAGGCCCTGTTCATCCGGTGTGAGTACTCCATCACACTCTCCGCCAAACTCTGCCTTAAGCCTACGAACCCTGCTAGCAGTTGCGATCCCGACCGTCTCTCCCCAAAGGTCTCCATAATCAGATCCAGCACCTTATCTGGATCTGATTGGATGGTTTTATCGTGGCATTTGACCTCTGCCCTAACCGTCTCTCCTATACTGCCCATCAGCAGTCTTAATCTTTCCTCTGGTGACATGCCTCTCGAGGCCCAGGCCGCTTTGACCTCTTCACTGAACCTGTTGGTTAAAGTTGGATCACCGTCCCCGTAAAATTTGTTAATGTGGGACTCTCTGGGTAGGACCACTATATGGGTCTGCTTCTCGTCCAGAGTAGACATTTTATTCCGTAAGTAAAACAAAAGAGT